TCATACCAGTCCATCCTAAAGGAAATCAGTCCTGAATGTTCATTGGAAGGACTGATGCTGAAGCTGAAATTCCAGTATTTTGGCCACCTAATGCAAAGAACTGACTCATTGGAAAAGACACTGATGCTGGGAAAGACTGAAGGCAGGAGGATAAGGGGATGACATGGTTGGATGGCATCACCGACTCAATGGACATGAGTTTGAGTAGGCTCTGGGGAGTTGGTGATGGACAGGGAAGCCTGGCGTGCTGCAGTCCATGGGATCTCAGAGAGTTGGACATGACTGAGCGACTGAACTGAACTGAATTACATTTGGGTACTCATCCAGCTGTTTTCATAAGATTGGGCAAGGAATAAGCAGATTTGGCCACCTGATCAAAGAGCCAACTCATTGGAAAAGATCCTGATGCTGGGAAAGATTGAAGGCAAAAGAAGAAGAGGATGGAAGAGGATGAGATGGTTAGATAGCATCACCGACTCAGTGGACACGAATCTGAGCAAACTCTGGGAGATATGAAGGATAGATTAGCCTGATGTGCTGCCGTCCATGGGGTCGCAAAGAGTCAGACATGACTTAGCCACTGAACAAAAACAACTTTCCAAAAAGCTTAGTATAGATTCGTGTGGGTGTGCACGCATGCACATGTGAACATATATGCACACATGGAAATTAGCAATGTGATTTTTTTGTGTTGCATGCATGTTTGCTTAGTTACTCAGCTGTGTCTGACTCTTTGTGACACCATGGAATGTAGCATGCCAGGCTCCTCTGTCCATGGGATCATCCAGACAAGAATACTGGAGTGAGTTGCCATTTCCTTTTTCAGAGGATCTTCCTGACCCAGGTCAAACCCTTTCCTCCTGTGTCTTCTGCATTTGCAGGCAAATTCTTTATCACTGAGCCACCTGGAAAAGCCCCTTAATGTACGAGGGGAAAGTATATCTTATGTTTTGGTGTGGTTCCTACTGGTAATGTGTGTTGGTATATTCTAGCTTTATTAGTCACTGAAGTTTAAACATATAAGAAGGTAATGAATTTGCAAATATCATCTTGGAGCAGAGAAATCCTCCTGGTTTGGGAAAATATAAGAGGGCAATTATACATATGTTTGCAAAGAAGCTAGAATTGGAGATGAGGTAATGTGGTGATGAATGAGAATGGGATTTTCTAAAATTAGTTAAATCCTAGAAAGTAAGTACTTCTAGTGAATATTTCAGTTCCCAAGAGGAAAGTTTTATTTCTGTGAGGATTTAACTCTTAATTTTTGGGTAGGGAGTCAGTGAGAATATTTACCTTATTGTCAAGTTAACTGGAATACAAAAGAAAAAAAACAAACTTAGTTTGGAAATCTTTCTTTCACTAGTAGTAGAACTAAAAGGTAGCTTTGGATTTTTCCAATATAGTTTAAGCTTTTGGCTAATTAAAATTAAAGCCTTATAATGCATTTTGGTGATATTAGTAGAAAATATGAGATACGTTTATTGTATGCTTCTGTCTCTTAAAAATTAATTTGGATCAAAGAGCAGAATCAAAATTAGGCTTAGTCATGCCAGTTTTATGATCTAGTTTATTAATTCCATGGCAAATGTAAAATGTATACTCGTAACAGGATAATGTTGAGGCAGCTGCTACCAACAGTTCACTCTGCATTTTCAAAGGTTGAATTCTTTTGCACGTTATACCTGGTTGAATCCTTGTGCACATTAAACCTAAGAATAAGAAGTAAAGCATCCTTGAAAGACTTTTGTTGTTGCTTCATTGCTAAGCCATGTCTGACTTTTTTTGTGACCCTGTGAACTGTAGCCTGCCAGATTCTTCTGTTCATGGGATTTCCCACAAGAATACTGGAATGGGTTGCCATTTCCTTCTCCAGAGTATCTTCCCAACCCCAGGGATTGAACTCACGTCTCCTATGTTGCAGGCAGATTCTTCATAGACAAAGCAGGAAACCAAAGCAATCTTATTTTTAGTTTAAAAGTCTTCTTATGTAATATGTAGACATCACATTAATTTATCAGGAATGATGTATTTCAAGCAAGACTCAGTAATTTAATGGTTGGTTTGTGTAGGCTAAAGATTGTCTTTTGTAGTAAAGAAAGGTAATTAATAATCACCCATGACTAAGGGAGATAGGAAAAAATATATATAATAGTCTTGAGAAAGGTAAATGAAGTTAAAAGTAGCAGAATTATTTTGATTAAAATTTTTGTTTTTATTTACAGTAAGAATACCATTGTCATTTTTTTACTTCTAGATGAAGCAAACTTTCAGTTACTTTCATAATCCTGAATTGGTGCATTTGGGGATAACAGAGGTGATTGAGTTTCCTGTCCTTAGAACAGTGCGTAATACGTAGATGATCAATATTTATGTGTTAACTGATTTCTCCTCTGAATCTGCTGCCCGAGTGCAGTCTCCTTGTGTCAAGTAGAACACCCTTTGTAACATTAATCACAGACATAATTACATGTTCAAGCTCATCTTTGTTAGGATGTGACTCTCACTAGTCACTTACCAAGATCCAAATGGCTTTTCCCCTGGTTTCAGAGTATGGATTTTGTACCAGAATCCACCCTTGAAATTTACCTCAGTAGCTTTAGAAAATGTTGGTGATATGTGAATCTAGGACTACCTATAGTGGAAGAATCAATACTTCTAGTTAGGTTACTACTTGAAGATGTGACCTCAATGGTCACAAAAACTGCATGGAAGTAAAGAAAATTTAAGGTATGATTCAACTTTATTTTTGAATTTTGTTTTATGAACAATTGAAAATCTGAAAATTGAATTTTGTTATAGAAATGATAAGGAATAAGTGATAAAAATATATAACACTGAAAAAGTTCACTGATCATTAAGTGTATGTCTCTCTACAGGGATAATATGACCTCTTGAGATTCTGTCTTAGCAAGAAGAAAGTGGAACATACTCTTGGAAAGAAAACTAAGACATTAAGAAAGCCAGAACTTATTTTTACATGGTTGTCCACTCAGTTACCAATATGGACGGTTTTCCCACCATTTTTCCTCCTGGTGGAGACAGTGAATTGAGACATTCTCAAACTGAGTTCCAAAAAATGTTAACTGATGAACGATTACGATGTGAACATCATAAAAATAATTATCAGACTCTGAAAACTGAACACAGAAGGTAATTATTTAAATTTGGAGGTGAGAGGCTTGATTAAACATTTTTATTTTGTCTGAATATTTGCTCTGGAACATACAGTATAATTTTGTTATAATGTACAATATACATTTAAAACTTTTTGAATACAATAAATGTTCTTTAAATCAAGTGGATTATAAATTTATTAAAGTCATTTTGAAAGTGGGATATAAAATTTATGTATATAGGTGGCTAAATTTTTTTTCCTTCAAAGTAAAGTTGTATCCAGAAATTACAGTGTTAATAGTTAAGCGACAGTTGGTAAAGCAATGATATTTGGAAGTTTAAATAGAATATATGATGTTGATCTTGTTCTGTAGTGTTGGTTGACTTTAAGGTAATACAATTAAAAAACAATGGATACACTTAAATTCTTCTTTTTCTAAAACTCAGGTTGCAAAATGAGTATGTAAAGTCACAAAATGAACTCAAGCGCCTATTAAATGAAAAGCAAACTCACCAGGAAAAGTTTCAGATGCTGCTTGAAGAGGTACGAGGAGAATTAGTAGCGAAAACTAAAGACTTAGAAGAGATGAAGCTGCAGGTAAGAGAAAATATATTCAAATTAGTATAAATTAGTCAGATGTTTAATGGAGATACATATGTCATTTTGGTAAATTTGGTAAGTTCTCTCTGTATCCATAATGAGTATTTTGTTGTATCTCCAGTGGTATAATTTAATCTTCTTTCATATACTTTAGAATGTTAGCTACTCTGTAGAATTCAGCCACAAAACTTCTATGTAAATTTTTATTATATTTTCTGTTCTGATTTAAATACTATCTTACTCTTAAGAATAATTGGAGGAAAGGCCTGTCTGAATTGATAAAAATTCACAGTTAACATACTTTAAAAATAAGGATTTTCTAAATTTCTGTGGAGTTTCTCAAGTAACAGATAGTTGGTACTAAAGTACTAACTACAGTTTCTTTTGATGTTTTTTTTACACTATTCATTTTCTGTTTGCTCAAAAAGTAGAGCAAAGCTATCTGTCAGATTTTAAATTGGTAGGTATTAGTTGTGATATTTTACTGTAATCGCTCAGTAGCACTAGTGGTTGATTTCTGCTTATCTCATGCTTGCTACTTACACCAAAAAGATGTCCGTTCCATCTTAGGGGACAGGAATGCAAAAGTAGGAAGTCAAGAGATACCTGGAGTAACAGGTAAGTTTGGCCTTGGAGTACAGCATGAAGCAGGGCAAAGGCTAGCAAGAGCTTTGCCAAGAGAATGCACTGGTCATAGCAAACACCCTCTTCCAACAACACAAGAGACAACTCTACACATGGGCATCACCAAATGGTTAACACCAAAATCAGATTGATTATATTCTTTGTAGCCAAAGATGGAGAAGCTCTATACAGTCAGCAAAAACAAGACCAGGAGCTGACTGTGGCTCAGATCATGAACTCCTTATTGCCAAATTCAGATTTAAAGTGAAGAAAGTAGGGAAAACCACTAGACTATTCAGGTATGACCTAAATCAAATCCCTTAGGATTATGCAAGTGGGAGTGACAAGCAGATTCAAGGGGTTAGATCTGACAGAGTGCCTGAAGAACTATGGATGGAGGTTTGTGACATTGTACAGCAATTGTAAAGACGTTGTAAAACAAAGGAGAAAAGGAAAGGTATACCCATTTGAATGCAGAGTTCCAGAGAATAGCAAGGAGAGGTAAGAAAGCCTTCCTCAGTGATCAGTGCAAAGAAATAGAGGAAAATGAAAGAATGGGAAAGACTAGAGATTTCTTCAAGAAAATTAGAGATACCAAGGAAACATTTCATGCAAAGATGGGCTCAATAAAGGACAAAAATGGTAAGTACTTAACAGAAGCAGAAGATATTAAGAAGAGGTGGCAAGAATACACAGAAGAACTGTACAAAAAAGATCTTTACCACCCAGATAATCATGATGCTGTGATCACTCACCTAGAGCCAGACATCCTAGAATGTGAAGTCAAGTGGGCCTTAGGAAGCATCACTACGAATAAAGCTAGAGAAGGTGATGGAATTCCAGTTGAACTATTTCAAATCCTAAAAGATGATGCTGTTAAAGTGCTGCACTCAATATGCCAGCAAATGTGGAAAACTCAGCAGTGGCCACAGGACTGGAAAAGGTCAGTTTTCATTCCAATCCCAAAGAAAGGCAATCCCAAAGAATGCTCAGACTGCTGCACAGATGCACTTATCTCACACACTAGTTAAGTAATGCTCAAAATTTTCCAAGCCAGGCTTCAACAGTACATGAACCGTGAACTTCCAGATGTTCAAGCAGGATTTAGAAAAGGCAGAGGAACCAGAGATCAAATTGCCAACATCCGCTGGATGAAACATTGCTGGAGAAAGCAAGAGAGTTCCAGAAAAACATCTATTTCTACTTTATTGACTAAGCGAAAGCCTTTGACTATATGGATCACAATAAACTGTGGAAAATTCTTCAAGAGAGGAGAATACCAGACCACCTGACCTGCCTCTTGCAAAATCTGTATGCAGGTCAGGAAGCAACAGTTAGAACAAGACATGGAACAACAGACTGGTTCCATAGGAAAAGGAGTACGTCAAGGCTGTATGTTGTCACCCTGCTTATTTAACTTACATGCAGAGTACATTATGAGAAATGCTGGGCTGGAAGAAGCACAAGCTGTAATCAAGACTGCTGGGAGAAATATCAATAACCTCAGTATGCAGATGACCCTTAAGGCAGAAAGTGAAGAAGAGTTAAAGAGCCTCTTGACGAAAGTGAAAGAGGAGAGTGAAAAAGTTGGCTTAAACCTCAACATTCCGAAAACAAAGATCATGGCATCCGGTCCCGTCACTTCATGGAAAATAGATGGGGAAACAGTGGCAGACTTTGTTATTTTGGGCTCCAAAATCACTGCAGATGGTGACTGCAGCCATGAAATTGAAAGACATTTGTTCCTTGGAAGAAAAGTTATGAGCAACATAGACAGCAGATTAAATAGCAGAGACATTACTTTGCCAACAAAGATCCGTCTAGTCAAGGCTATGGTTTTTCCAGTGGTCATGTATGGATGTGAGAGTTGGACCATAAAGCTGAGCACCAAAGAATTGATGCTTTTGAACTGTGTTGTTGGAGAAGACTCTGAGAGTCCCTTAGACTGCAAGGAGATCCAACCAGTCCATCCTAAAGGAAATCAGACCTGAATGTTCATTGGAAGGACTGATGCTGAAGCTGAAACTCCAATACTTTGGCCACCTGATGCAACGAACTGACTTACTGGAAAAGTCCCTGATGCTGGGAAAGATTGAAGATGGGAGGAGAAGAGGACTACAGAGGATGAGATGATTGGATGCCATCACCAACTCAATGGACATGAGTTTGAGTAAACTCTGGGAGTTGGTGTAGGACAGGGAGTTCTGGTGTGCTACGGTGCATGGGGTCACAAAGAGTCGTACACATCTGAGGAACTGAACTGAAGATGACAGGTAAATGATACTAATGGAAAAATAAGTCTCCACAAAGGAAAAAACAACACTGAAATCGGTCTTGTGAGGTCTCTAACTATGGTAAAGACTACTTCATAAGCAAGTTACTAACAACAAGCAGACACATTAAAAAAAAAAACAAGTATCTTCCTCCCTTCTCCCTCTTTCTCAAAGCCGACATACTCCAGACACAGAATTAGAGGGTTAAACTGATGCCAAATTAGGAGGAAATTATGCTGTGTCTTAGATTTTTAATGGAATTACTGCCACTACTTGTCTCAAAACAAACCTAAAAGAATGCTTCATCATATAACCATCTGTGTTTCATTACCTACATTAAATCTATAAAAACAAATCTTCAACACTCCAACATTTGTCCTATTAAATATTATAATACTATACAGACAAGTTTTTTCAAAGAATGCTTTGATTTAATGGGGCAAATATCACTGTACCAGAGATTCTTAAGAAATTAATGAGAAACTGAGTAATAAATTTTGCTCTGAGCTTCCTAGCAGCCAAATAATACAGGAAATATATGGGTTACACAGTTTGCATTACCAGGCACAAAGAAAGGATGTATATGTTTGATAATTATCAAAAATACATAAGATGACTCCCATTTTTTAAGGAAAGGTTTTGTTAACATGTCACATAATAACAATGTAATAGCTAACTTGTTCTAACCACGTATGACATCAAAGCATTGTATGAACAATGTCTATGCATTGACTCACTGTACCTTTAAAATTATCCTATGAACTAGGCACTCTTTTCATCCCCAATCACTACAACTACACAAGTGATGCAGAATATTCTTTAAATGAATGTCTTTTATATTGTTTTTCTATGAAAAGAACTGACTTACTGGAAAAGTCCCTGATGCTGGGAAAGATTGAAGATGGGAGGAGAAGAGGACTACAGAGGATGAGATGATTGGATGCCATCACCAACTCAATGGACATGAGTTTGAGTAAACTCTGGGAGTTGGTGTAGGACAGGGAGTTCTGGTGTGCTACGGTGCATGGGGTCACAAAGAGTCGTACACATCTGAGGAACTGAACTGAAGATGACAGGTAAATGATACTAATGGAAAAATAAGTCTCCACAAAGGAAAAAACAACACTGAAATCGGTCTTGTGAGGTCTCTAACTATGGTAAAGACTACTTCATAAGCAAGTTACTAACAACAAGCAGACACATTAAAAAAAAAAACAAGTATCTTCCTCCCTTCTCCCTCTTTCTCAAAGCCGACATACTCCAGACACAGAATTAGAGGGTTAAACTGATGCCAAATTAGGAGGAAATTATGCTGTGTCTTAGATTTTTAATGGAATTACTGCCACTACTTGTCTCAAAACAAACCTAAAAGAATGCTTCATCATATAACCATCTGTGTTTCATTACCTACATTAAATCTATAAAAACAAATCTTCAACACTCCAACATTTGTCCTATTAAATATTATAATACTATACAGACAAGTTTTTTCAAAGAATGCTTTGATTTAATGGGGCAAATATCACTGTACCAGAGATTCTTAAGAAATTAATGAGAAACTGAGTAATAAATTTTGCTCTGAGCTTCCTAGCAGCCAAATAATACAGGAAATATATGGGTTACACAGTTTGCATTACCAGGCACAAAGAAAGGATGTATATGTTTGATAATTATCAAAAATACATAAGATGACTCCCATTTTTTAAGGAAAGGTTTTGTTAACATGTCACATAATAACAATGTAATAGCTAACTTGTTCTAACCACGTATGACATCAAAGCATTGTATGAACAATGTCTATGCATTGACTCACTGTACCTTTAAAATTATCCTATGAACTAGGCACTCTTTTCATCCCCAATCACTACAACTACACAAGTGATGCAGAATATTCTTTAAATGAATGTCTTTTATATTGTTTTTCTATGAAAGTCAAAGAGATAATAAATCTTAAATCAGAAAAGGCATTTTGCAAATTGACAATATAATAACATGTGTATTTTTAAAATAATAATCTTTCATAAAACCTTGACTGAAGTATTTCTTGCTGATTTTACTTTGTTGAATTTACTTACCTTTACTCAACTCACAGTTTGTACA